TTTAGATAATGTAGAAATATTGAAATAATAATATTGCTCCTTTCATTATAGAATACATGATAGAGTATATATAGGAGATATTCCTAACACAACTAGGAATAGAGAATGGAAACTAACTAACATACAACATCTACTACAAATAAGATTAGGAAGCTGACTAATAATGAAACACTACCATAACTAATACTACCAGAAGTAATATTAGTTTTATTGTCTAACATCCCCCCTCAAGCTGAACTCTGGCTGAAGCAAGAGAAAGCTTGGACATTAGCTGGAAACTGGAAACTTTGAGAAGAGAGAAGTTTGACATGCGCCGGTGGCTGCTCACGTCGTTGGAGAAGAGAGAAATGTGACGCGCGCCGGTGGCTGCTGACGTCCTTGGAGAACAGAGAAGTCTGACGTGCACTGGTAGCTCCTAACGTCGTTGGAGAAGAGAGAAATTGACGTGCGCTAGTAGCTGGTGATGTCAATGAAGAAGAGAGAAGGTTGACGTGCGCTTGTAGCTGCTGACGTCGAAGAAGAATAGATAAGGCTACTGGAGGTGCCAGTTTGACTGAAGATCCTTGACATTCTTTGTCTTTTTTTCTTGGATCCGGGCAATGCCCTATTTCTTTCTTGAAGGGGTGTAGAGGTATTCTTTCCTCTTTCACTAATTCCCCTCTTGGCTTTGCTTTTGTGTTGTTTTTTTAGAATTTGTTGGGTAACAAAAGAGAAAGAGAAGAAAGATTGATGATTAGAATGAGTGATTTGAGAGGAAAAAAAAGGATGGGTTGAGAAAGTTTTTGAGGAGTTGCCAATCTTTAAAATTGAAGAAAGAATAACATCGGTCCGGCGGGCGGCTAATGGCGGCGCCGCCCGCCAGAAGCGAGCGCAGAGAGTTTTAGGTCACCTAGAGCGGTGGCTCCGATACCATGTAGAAATATTGAAATAATAATATTGCTCCTTTCATTATAGAATACATGATAGAGTATATATAGGAGATATTCCTAACACAACTAGGAATAGAGAATGGAAACTAACTAACATACAACATCTACTACAAATAAGATTAGGAAGCTGACTAATAATGAAACACTACCATAACTAATACTACCAGAAGTAATATTAGTTTTATTGTCTAACAGATAATAACAAAAAAAGGACATATCAATTAAGCATCAAGGTTAATTAAGTACAAAATTGATTCAAGCGCTTCAACGAGTATATTCCGTCTGTGATGGAGGGACATTTTAAAACAATTGAAAGATGAAGACCGAAGAAGTTCAAGACCTCCGTGTTGGATAGTCTTTTAGGTCTTCGATAAATTGTTAAAGAATATGGCATTAGAACCTTTTCCTAGTGTCATTCTGAGTTAGAACCTTTCGAAAAATCAGTTTTTATGTAAAACAATTGATGCATTCAAATGTACAAGTTTATACATTCAAATGTATACAGTTTTAGTAGTTGTACCATAAGATAACTGATGCATTTGAATGTTGGGGTTCAACATTCAAATGTAAGCAGTTTTCAGCAGTTCCAACAATAGTTTTCAAGTATTTTGAAGTCTAGGGAGTTTGCGTGATTCATTATCTTTACTCTCACCTAACTCATCACTTTGAAGTATATTGTTTGTTAACATAAAAATGGGGAGATTGTTAACCTTGGTTTGCTAAATCTCGTGCTTTGATGTTAACAAATAATATATGAGCTAATATTATTTTGAGTGTTTCAGGTACAACAAATATCCATTAAGAATTGGTTCTCAAGAACAAAGTTGAAACACCAAACTAGTGTAGAATATAGGTAGAATTTAATGTAAGGATATGATTTTATATACCTATATTCACAAGCTCAATATGCAGTCACAAACATGCTTAAAACGATTTTCTAACTCAATCTTGCACACGTACAAAAATATTTTCCGTCGGGTATTTATTTTTTTTAATAAAATAATCAAATAAAAAATTTTGGAAAATATATTTTGTGAATTTTGAAAACATAAAACACAAATTTTTTCGATCTTTTCAACACGAGATCGTAGGTTTTTGAATCACTCAATTCCGATAAGTATTGAATAAGTTATGGCCTTTTTATTAAAATCCTAGATTCTGCGTGTCAAAAATGCACTTGCTAAAGACGGTCGATTAGATGGACCGTTTGGGAGAAATGGTTGACAAGTCCGTGGCTGTGTAGCTAAATTTTACTAATTCTGAAATGCCTATGGCGGTAGGAAGCTACCATGTGGTGATTTCTTACTACCGTCTCACGGTTAAAGGTTCAAATTTGAATTTTAATCGCCTTTGACCAACCCTAATCACCCTTAACCGATCACCAACGTTCACTAATCTTTCTCAACTATAAATAGGGCTATAATCCTTCATTTTAAACAGGAATCCATGCTTCGATACTTCATATTTCATATTCTAAGTGTGTTGATCTTTTGGTTCTTTAATCTTATTATTTTGGCTATTTAAAGAGCTATTTTTCTCCTTATTATTATACACACACTATTGAGTTTGTGGTCTAGATATATACTCTCATATCTATAGGCTGATCTTGTATTTCTAGAAAGTATATTCTTGCTCTACACCAACTAAGTCTTATTCTTTATACTTGTGTCAAGTCATTGCATAGAACTTGTAACTTGTGTAAAAAACTTACACCTTCTTACGGTCTGGAATAGCCGTTAAATTCTCATTTGTAACTGAAAAGGATAGCTAAGAAATCCTTGGGTAAAAGATTCGTGGATAGCCTTCAAATCCTTGGGGGACGGTCAGAGATAGCCGTGAAATAATCTTCATAGTAAGCAGTTCGAGATAGCCATTGTGAAATCTCAAGTTGAATCTTATTGGCAAGGGTTGTTTGAGAAACTAGTTTGGTGCTTTCATGGGGTTCAAGAGACTAAGACTTAGTGGATTCGAAAATCCTTAAGGGGGAGCCTTAAGGCCTTAGAGTACGAAGTTCCCGAACCAGTCTAAAATTGGCGTGTCTTTATTTTACGCTTTTATTCTTTGCGTTTTTCATTGCTTCCGCATTTGCCAACACAAATTTTATTAAGCTCCGAAAAGTTTCCTAACGCCTTATTCACCCCCTCTAAGGTGTGGGCACATCGACTAACACGAGGTCATTGCACACCTTTTGTTTTCCTACTTACTCCTTGAGGACAAGGTGTGTCTCTATCGGGATGGCAGTGATAGGGAATTGAAGGATTAATTAGTAATTTATGTTATTTGGTTAATCATCTATTTAATACTTCTCATGTCCATTAATTTATTTCTCACTTTCCTTTTTGGGCCGTCCAAATTTTTTTTCTCTTTTCTTATTTTGGCAATTTTTTTTAATGAATGTGTCATTATACATCCACTTTTTATCTACACTCTTCATTTTATTCCATCACATCAAGTCCAACACAAGAAAATGAAAGTCTTTATACTTTTTAACTTTTCTAAATCTACGTGTCAAGTCCAACTGAGAAAGAAATTTCAAGACGCACCGGGGGAGAAGTTTACTTAGATAGTTTAATCATTTTTATATTTACTTTTTGTTGTTGAGTGAAATTATAATACGTACTCCTTCGAGGGTTTCATTTCGGTCATTTACCTCGACGCTTTTATTGATCCGATAGATTTAAGAATTAATGGGGGTGTGTTCAATTCAGAGTTTAAAAGATTTTGATAGATTTGTTAGTATCTATAGATTATATAAAATCAAAAGATTATTTTAAGTTTACGCAGAATTCGAAAGATTTTAACATAGTTTTCAATAAGATTTTGTTTGATTATTTATTATGCATTTACTTTTTTTTTCCATTCTTCCCCTGTCTCCTACGGCCCCTTCTTCTTCTCCTCTCTGGTTCTTTTTTTTCTTTCCTTTTCTTTCCCCTCATCCTTCTTTCTCTTCTCTCCTTCGTTCCTCCTCCTTTTTTCTTCTTTCTTTCTCTTTCTTTCTCCCACCCTCCTTCCTTTTATTTATTCTTCTTCTTTCTCCTCTTTCTTCAAGTTCCCCTTCCACTGTCCCGCCGCCGCCGGCAAGCCTATGTCCTTCGTGGAAGGACTGAATCTGGCTTCCTTCCCTCCTGGAAGGATTGAATCTGGCGCTGGAGCTAAAGACCTGAAAGATTGAGAATCCTGCTTCCTTCCTAGAGCTCCGCAGAAAAAGAGGAGTCCAACAACTAATTGAAGAAGAAGATGAGAAGTCGTTCAGTCCTATGTCGACGCATTGTTGAATCTGGCTATGGATCAGAGAGGAAGATGAGAAGTTGACGTAGTTAGTGCGGAAGAAAGTCTGGTAAAATCCTACAGTTGTTGGTGGGATTTCAAATCTGGATTTATATTTATAAATATGGCTTGACAATCCATTGAAATCCACGTAATTAAAAATCTATCTATTTTTGAATACTGTCATATTTGGAATGATTTTTTAAAATCTGGATTGAATACAATCATATTTTAAATGATTTTTTAAAATCTAAATTGAAGATCTACAGATTTTCAAAATCTAAAATAATCCATCAGAATCCCGATTGAATACACCCCCTATGTTTTTGCTAGGATTAGGGTTTACCATCTATCTATATATTGTGTTGAAATATTAATCCTCTTCAGAAAATTATCAATGAACAATCAAAATATTTTTCTAACCCTAATTCTATCCCTCTCCTTTCTCCTGCCATAGGGCTTTCTTTCACTCTTCTTCTTTCCTCATTTCTTCCCCTTCCTCCCTTATTTCCCAATCGTTCTCCCCTATCTGAAACGTTAGCTTATCAATTGGAGATGCGATGGCGTCGGATGCAACGATGGCAGTGGTGACAATAGTGTGATCGGTGAAGATTTGTGATGAATTAGGCTTAAGAAAAATACTATTATGAAAAAGGAAAAAATAAGTGTTAGTTCAGTTACAATATAATAATGGGAATTGGTAATTAATTAAACTCGTGATGTTGTTGAATTATTAGTATAGAAATTTCAACATTCACCAATAATCTTAAGAAAACAACCTTAATTAGAATACACATATTCATCCATATGTTCTTTTATTTCTTATAAATACGAAAAATCATATTGAAATTTTGCATGTGTGTGCCAAGAACCCTAGTTTTTCTTTTCTCTCTTTAATGTACGTGGTAAAACTGGGACGAGAAGGGTTCTTCAAGCGTGCTGGTTTTCTCCTGGAATGTAACGCAATTCCTTGAACACCTCTGGACAAGCAGCAATGGGCTTATCCTTCAAGTACAAGATAGGGTTTACGTTCCTGGCCATGTCAGCAATGCCATTCTTGGTTGTGAGGGTGACTCTGGTGAAGTCTTTCGCCCAGCCGTCTTCGATGATCTCGGTGCAGTCGTCTTTGCTGCTCTTTACCGGCTTGACGCCGCAGAACTCGTCCTGGTGTTCGCCCACGGCGTCTATGTTGTAGACGCCGTTGCTGTCTGTTTCGCCATCTGCGCTGTACGTCAACTTTCCGTCTGTGTTGTTGTAGCATTCCAATCTCACCTTGGCCCCTACACATGTATATATTATTTCACGCATACATGGATGCAACTAAATTGTTAAAATAATCTATTTAAATAAAACCAATGATGGAATTTATATCAAAATATAAGACCTCTTATACTTTTATTCTCTAAATAAGAACGTTGGCATTCCAATGTCACAATTTGGCAATATATGTGTTGACATTTCACATTTTTGACATTATATATTAACAGTATTTGATATTATAAGTCCTGTTTTGGTATAAGTATGTTTAATCCTAATTGGGTGTTTCTCCTTATATTATAATTAACCAATCTTTTGCTATATCGAATGTAACGTGAAAAGATCGGTGAAGGGAAGACTAGGTTGAGAGTATCGTAGCAAAACATGATAATACTAATAATAATACCTGGCATCCTTTCGGAGACTCGGGTGACAAATTTGGCTCGACATGTGTCGCAGTACACGGTTCCAATGACTTGGAAGTGTGGATCAACCGCGGCATCGGTGAAGGTGAGTAAGGATGCCAAGCAAATGGCACCCGCAATGAGAAGTGCATATTGGAGTTTATTTGCCATATTGTGTTAGTTTTTATCCTAAATGTTGAACTTTTTTTTTGTTTTTGAGGGATGGGAAAGATAATATATGGAATATAATGTGTTTGAGAGAGGGTGTAGTTTCGTGGTGTGGCTTATTTATCTGGGCATGGTGGTTTTGCATGAGAGGCAGAAATTTCTCCTCTAACTTTGGTGGATGAGGAGCAAACAATTCAATGGACATAAAAAGAAAGAAATTCTCGGCCTTCCCTTATTCTCTTCTTTTGGCTTTAATTTCTCACCCTTTTTTCCTCTCTCTTTTAGATTTAGTTACTCCATCCGTCCTAAAATTAACTGCTCATTTGACTTTTCATATTCTCCAATGCGACACTTTAACCATTAACATCTCTATTTTTATATGAATATATATTACAAAAATAACACATTTCAAAAATATGTTTCAAAATAAATTTATTGATAATAAATTTATATGAAAATTCAATATATTTTTTCCGTAATATACAGTCAAAGTTTGAAAAGTTTGACTGAAAAAGTCAAACAGTGAAATTAATTTTAGAACGGAGGGACTAGTTTGTTTACGTTGACGTTCTCCAAGTATACTACTTGAGGGGTGGCAAAAAATATTGAACTAGCACGGTACCCATTTATATATACTCCCTCCGTTCCATAAAACCCTTCCCCTTTCTTTTTTTTACCAATTCCCTAAAACACTTCCACTTTCTAGTCGCTCCGTTCCATAAAACCCTCTCTCTTTCGTTTGTTTTTAATTCTCTAAAAAACTTCGACTTTCTATTAAAAAACCACTATTACCCATATTTTTAAATACCCTACCTATCACATCATACTTTTTTACTAATAACCAAACTATCACATCTTACTTTTACCCATCACATCAAGGGCAAAATTGGAAAGTCAACCAAAATTACACTTTCCTTATTTTGATCCAAAGTCAAAATAGGAAGTGTTTTAAGGAACGGAGGAAGTAGTATTTTAAAATGTGATTGATTTTTTTCATCACGAACCAAAATCCAACCAATATCAAACGGGACGGGACCGTGATACAAATATTAAAAATTGATTATTACGGAGTATCTCAATTCGGAGTAATTATTTGTCTACTTCATCTTACCATATATGGAGTACTAATTCATATTGTATTATTCATTTTTAAAATTCTTTCATTAGTATTGTTGACATTATATTTATTACTACTATTATCATAATTTTTTAGATTTATTAATAGTATAATATTAAAAATATCTAAAATTTGAACTTGTTATTTTTTATTTTTTATGTTTATGATACTTTTAAATTTGAAATTAGTACTTCTATTTAACAAAGTTGTGTTTTTTTATACAAAATTATGCTTTTGTTTTAATTTTTTTGAGTGATGTATGTTCATTTTTTGGAACGGTTTGAGCATGGGTATGACATTGTACCGTTTCGTTTCAAAACGAATAATACCGAATGGTTTTGGGGTTCATACCGTACCAATACTAAACCGTTTAAATAAGAAAAGTTATTTAAACGATCTCTCCGCCTCAAAAATTTCTTTTTTTTCTTTTTTTGTCCCACAAAATTCTTCATTTTCTATTAAAAAATCACTTTTACCCCTATTAATGTTTAACCTACCTATCAAATCATACTTTTTTACTAATAATTTATTCATCATATCTTACTTTTACCCATCACACCAAGGATATTTTGAAAAGTTAACATAAAAATATATCTCCCTTAAACTTTCTAAAAGTCAAAATGAGCATATCTTCATGAGACGCATGAAGTATTTCTTTGTTTAGTCATAAAAGAATGAGGTCTATCAAATAGAACTTCTTCAATTATACAACTAAACTGCAGTTTTAGGCAAACCCTATGAAGGACCTAAGGTCCACCATATACCTACTATGAATAAAATAAGCATTTTTTACTATTTAAATAAGTATCTATTTTTTTAAATAAAAACATTTAAAAAAACTAATGTGAGAAGGTTCACAAAAATGGTATTCATCCGAGGTACACCATAGAAGCACTCTCATTTTTAATAATGTTGTGTATGTGAGGTTACTCATCACATTAACAAGGAAAATGCTGGGTTCACACAGAATACTAACAAACTTTCCATTTGTAAACTTCAATAAAAAAGTAAAATAATTTGGAATAATTTTAAAAAGAGAATTTGACCTATAAATGATAAATTTATGAATTTTGTGATCGTTTTGTTTATGAACTTAGCATTGCACCCGTAACAAGATCAACTTACTCATAAATTAATGTTAATTGATTAAATTCCATAATTAGTCCTTTATATTATGGGGGTTTCCCTATTTAGTCTTCTATTATCAAATATTACCCTAGTGGTCCTTCTTTTATGGGTATCTTTCCACAAATAGTCCTTTTTTGATTTTCAATCATGTTGGTGTTAATTTGAGAGCTAAATATGTAATTTCACAATGATAATACATCTTTTTTGTCATACACAATTCCAAAGGCTATTTTTTTGCGTCGTTTGTGAATTACAGTCGCTTTCTAATACAACCATAGTCTACAAATGTGATTTTTCGTCGCAATCCTAGCCCACAATCATAGTCATTATTTTTGTGTTATCCGCTTAACCAATATCAGAACACATCACTAGACATAATGTTGATCTCAAATTAACTTTTAGTTTTTAAATTAACACCAACATTACAGAAGATAAAAAACGACCATTTATGGAAAGACACCCTTAAAAAAGGACTACGGGGTAATATTTGATAATAGATGAATAAATATGAAAACTCTCCTGTTATAAAGGATCAATTATGATATTTGCTCATGTTAATTATAATGCTTATAATGCTCAGGCACTTCCCTAGGCAATGAGTGTCAGCCTGTAATTTCGAAGTCTATCCATTAACTTTTTTAAATAAAAAGTAACATTATAGTAATAAGAATAATAAAATGAACCATGTTAGGATGTCACCACATATGTGTTACTATGGGTGCACCCTTATCATCTGTGTTTGTCTGTGCGAAGCATGAGTACACCCATGGTAGCACCCATGTGGTGGCACCCTAGCATTTTCCTAATAAAATATCAAATGCATAGTGTTATGAATTTACTCCCTCCGTCCCAAAATATAAGCAACATTACGCTAAACGAAGTAATTTTTTGAATTTTTTTAATCCATTTTATTTAAAGAATGGTCTACAAATGAAAAATAAAAGTTACAGATTTAAAAACAACGTCAAAAGTTCTACAAAACAAGTAGTGACAATAATATTTTATTTTATCATATAATCAATGAAAATTCAAAAATATATAAAAGTTTTTGGGATTTTTAAATAGTTGAGTGTTGCTTATATTTTGGGATGGAGAGAGTATAATTATTACTAGTAATCGAGGATTTATTAATAAGTTCTCTTAGCATTAAAATGGGCTAAGAAATGAATATGGGCCGAATTCTAAAAATTAATATGTACTTCGTAAAGATTTAAAAATAGATAGAAAAGAGGGGCCCAACTTTAAAAAAGAAGAAAAAAATTTCATAAAATGCTTAGAGTAAAGAAAGATGAACTTCACTACCTAATCTTTTTGTGAGGGAATAGTAAAAAAAGGATGATTCCATCCCCGAAGCTCTAGATTCATCCAAACGATCATTAAAAGAAGATAAATTAAACTTTGATCGCAGATTGGTGGCAAGAGTGGAGTCTGCCAACTCCTAAGTCAGTGCCAGACACCACCCCACCTATATAATTTGACCTTCCATCCGAGTCACTACGGCGACACCCTGCCTCATCCGAGTCACTTCGGCACCGAAGAATAGATGGGGTTTTGAAGGCAGAGGTGCAGAATCTAGAGTATATTGCGGAGGAGGGTACTCCATTTTGCACACCGTGGGGATGCGTGTTGGTGAAATGCTAATTTTTGTTAATGCATCAACATTTTGTGTCAGTGCAAATTTTTGTTAACGCACCAATACTTTGTATTAGTGTAAATTATCAAAATGTTGGTGCATACCTTTGATGTATAAATGGGCTACAAATTTTGAGATACATGTAGCATGCTCCTACGGAGAATAACTTTGCCGGATCTATCATTAGTTCAAAAATTCATCACAATCACATATTTGTTATTGATCAATAATTTTAATTTCATCGGCTTGATTTTAATTGAACGCCCAAATAATATGTTTTCTTATTAAAAACCTATAAAAATAAAAAAAATGTTTTTCTAATCAAGGGATAACTAAAATGTGATTATGTTGAAGTAAAAAATGATTTTTTATATCTTATTTTAATTTTAATTTTTTGGGTTTTTATAAGAAAATAATATTTTTTATTTTTATTTTCATTTTTTACCAACGGGTTAAATTAGAAGTAATATATTCATATTCCGTATAATGCCTAAAAGGTTAAAATTCACCACTCTATATATGTTTTTCAAATTTTCTTATCAGTTCGAGTTAGATTTTATTGATTTTTTATGGTATTAGTTGTTTTTTCCATTTTTCATTTTTCCCGTAGTAAGACTAAAAAAGATTAATCTTTTGAAAAATGATAAAAGTAGAAAGTTATTTTAAAAGTTTTAAGGGAAAATTAGAACGAAAATTAATAAAAGAACTGCTTAACGGGAACACAAAATCACACATTTTGGTCACGGTGATATTATTATGTATCACAGTGATATGTAATATTATTTTTAAAAAATCAAGTAAGCTTTGAATTATTCTCGACACTTTTTGTTTTTTTTATTTACGCCCCTCATATTAAAATAATTTATACAATTTCTCAATAATTTTTATTTGTTTGTAGAGTCCTAGGTGTACTATTAATTGATAAGATAAAGTGTAAATTCCTAAAATTTTCCCAAATCAGTTCTCAATAAGTTTTAATTACCTACGTGATTCTCTATAATTGAGATTTATTCCTAAGATGGTTCTTCGTAAATAATGTTACTCAAATGAGGGTTAATTGAGGGTATTTTGGTATTTTTATTCGCTAAATTTAGAATTAATTCTTAAAATGATCATTTACAATGAAGTGCTTTCCCAAAATGGTTTTTTTCTAATTAAAGATGTGTATTTAATTTTAAATTTAAAAGATTTTTTATAAGTTTTAAATAATTCATGAATAATTTATAGTCAATGTATTATTTTCAATTTTACATTTAGTTGTACAAAAATAACTGTTTCGATAATATACTTTAAATTTGGACGATCAAAATATCAAAATATCTCACATTTAATCATCATTTGATTAACAATATTTACGAAAGAATATCTTGAAAATAAATCTATCCAAATAACTGTTTCTACAATAGGTATTAAAATTTATCGAAGACTCACATTTGGAAAACAATTGCGGGCAGGGAGTATGTGTCTATGTGATACCAGAATAAGGTAGAAAGGTATGGGGAAACGTTGCCAAGAATAGAGAATGACGCATATGGAAATGGAGAATGTGCAGAGCATTCATCAAATCTTATCCTGCAAGCAAATGGGATAATTATAATAGGTAAGCAAACAGCCATCAAGGCTTGTTTATTTATACTATATATATATATATATATATATATATATATATATATATATCCGCCAATTATTGATTCAATCTTGTTCGCCTCGTGTTTACCTTCTCAGCGTATCCGCCAATTATTGCTCTTCTTGCTGTTTGGGTTTGAGATTTTACTGAAATTATCTTATTGCCATGAGTGCAACTGATCAAGCAGATGGCATTGTATTGCCAAACCATATTATTCATTTGGAGGATGAACCTACCCATCTTCTTGTCCTCGTTCATGGCATCTTGGCGAGGTAAGCTGCAACTTTCCTCTTCTTTGGCTTTGGAAATTGATTTTTGATGTTTTTTTGGGACTTAGCTGTGAAAATAGGATGATATAGTTTTCCCTTTCATTTTCCATGTTCTTGAATAATTTCCAAAAGTATACCAGAGAGTATGTCGATTGCTTGTTTTAATCAGTTTTTCTCATCCCCTTTTAGGGCCTGTTTGGGAATAGCGTTAGAGATTAGCGTTAAAGTTTTGAAAATGATATCTACGGGCAGCGCGTTGGCATTTTCAAAGTAATCTGTACCGTTAAAATTTTATCCAAAATGCCGATGCTAATCTCTAACGTTGTTCCCAAACAGGCTCTTAATGGCCTAATTCTTTGTCTCATGCCCTCATTTGACTTTCCAAGCACTATTTCATCATGGGAGAACTAAATGGAAAACATGAATTAATTTTGGGGCCAATGGATGATCATGTCTTGACATTTAAAGATGTTTTTTTTATCCATTTTCTTGGTTGACCTCAATAGCTTTAGCATGGCTTTTAGCTTATGGTCTGTTAACTAACAAATCAATAAGAATAGTGATGTCCTATTTTCCTTCCATTTCTTTTACTGAGTTCTTGGCGTGATACAGCACTAGTGACTGGACTTATGCGCAAGCAGAACTGAAGAGACGGCTGGGAAGAAAGTCTTTGATTTATGGTATTTTTTTAAGTTTAAAGAAAATGGAATGCGATGAATCCAATATATTCATATTTCTAGATCACCTATGCGGCGGCTATGCTCTTTATTCCGTCTTCAATTTTCTTTAGATTATACTCCGTGGGAATCACAAGTTCTTCATTTTAATACAGCGCTATGTTCTTTTCTTTGCAGCAAGTTCATGCAATGCTTATATCAAAACATTTGCTGGGATTGATGGAGCTGGAAAACGACTTGCAGATGAAGTGAGTGTGATGGTATATGTACGTTTCTTGGAATGGTTGCGATATCTAAATCTTCTTTGATACAAACAGGTAATGCTAGTTGTGAAAAGGACAGAGAGCCTAAAGAAGATTTCTTTTATTGCACATTCACTTGGTGGGTTGATTGCAAGATATGCAGTTGCTGTTCTTTTTACACCGAACGTATCGAACGCTGCAAATACAAAGCCCGGTTGCTCTTCAAATAAAGGGTTGATTGCTGGGCTAGAACCAATTAATTTCATCACCTTGGCTACCCCTCATCTTGGAGTAAGAGGCAACAAGCAGGTTTCTTCTCAAATTAAAACATATTGTGTCTGTTTCCGTAGCATAAAGACATAATATTGCTGGAATTATATCATTTCATATCTTTTCTCTAGCATTTTCCAGGATCCAAACGCATCCATAAATTTTTGAGATTATTGCAGCAGTGAGATAGATAACAAAGAAAGGGTTGTTGATGTGCAGAAAATTGGTTTTGTTTTGTGGTTTAGTTTCCCATTCTCTTGGGAGTTCCAATCTTAGAAAAACTTGCTGCACCAATGGCTGCATCGTTAACTGGGAAAACTGGTAGGCAGCTCTTCCTCACAGACGGGAAACCAAATGTGCCTCCGCTCCTCTTAAGAATGGCATCAGATTGTGAAGAAATGAAATTTATGTAAGATTAAAACAAAAACAAATGCATTTAAGGTTTATTAATGCTTATATGAAATATAGATAAAGCTTTTAATGTTTTGCCATTATCATCTTACATTTGTATTGCAAGATCTTCACTTGGCGCTTTCAAATCCCGCTCCGTCTATGCAAATGCTTCTTATGACTGTATCCGACTCTCCACTTTCCTTGCAAACACGTAGTCTCGACACTTGAAGAAACTTAAGAGCATTGTAACATACTCCCTCTGTTAGGATTTGATTGTCAACTTTTTCTCTTAGGGCATCCGGAATTAGTTAGTTGTCTATTGGCCATATTTAGTAAAATATGCGTAAAGACAATATTAACATCGTTCTCATAAAATGACAAATGAAGGACACAAAGTAGTTTCAATTAGTTTTCATTTCCTTGACATAGTCTAGATCTGGTTGGATGGCGTACGTCCTCTATAAGAAGGGACTCGGAGCTTCCCAAGGTAAATTCTTTTTCCAGTAAGAGCCTGTTTAGCAACGGCGGGTTTGGCCGAAATTGCAGAAATTATGGTTGATATTTTTGTGCTTTCATGTCAACAATTGATGGTGAAGTTTTGAGGTTGTTTCAGCCTCCCAAACAATCTTTGGATGGGTACAAGCATGTGGTAAATGTTGAATACTGTCCTCCAATTACGTCGGATGCTCCTCGTTTCCCTCCCGAAGCAGCCAAAGCAAAGGAAGCCGCTCAAAATGAACATAATGCTACATTACAATACCATGAAATCATGGAAGGTAGTATAGTATACTAGTAAATTAAAGACACATTTTGAATCCTTCTATGTTGGATTTTGTATGTTCATATTTTGTTGGTGTAGAATTGTCTTGATATTGGGAAACTGTTGATCTGGTTTTGAAACAGAGGAAATGATAAGGGGATTGCAACAAATAGGGTGGATGAAGGTAGATGTTAGCTTCCACTCAGCATTATGGCCCTTCTTTGCTCATAACAACATACATGTATGCAACAAATATCATATGAGTTTTTATATATGGAGGGTATCAGAACTCATATCTCTTGCATTCAATAAATGGGTATTTTTTTTGTTGTGGGGCAATTCAACAGGTGAAGAATGAATGGTTCCATAATGCTGGAGCTGGAGTCATTTCTCATGTAGCAGACAGCATCAAGCAACAAGAGAAGCTATGCAGATTGAACCCAGCTTTTGTTGTTTCTAGCTTGTAGCCTGGTTTTGTTGTTGCAAGAGACATGACCAAAACTAATAACTATA